GGGTCCCGGAGCCCGCAGGGCAGAGCCGAGGGGTGCAGGGGCCGCTGCCGGCGGGATCCCGGGATGCCGCGGTGACGGGACCCGGGCGCCCGTCGGGTGCTGGGGTGCAGCCGAAGCCGAGGCGCTGCAAGGCCGGCGGGGCAGCGGAGCCGCCAGCGGAGCCGGGTGCTGCCCTGCCCGCACTGCCCTGCCTTTGCCTGCTCCTCGGGGCAGGAGACGTGGGGCTGGCAGTGCCAGAGCCCGCACCGGGGCTGTACCTGCCCTGTGCCGCTGCCGAGGTCAGGTTGGCCGAGGCGCGAAGGGACCGGCCACGGCTCTGCACAGGCCTGCCGGAGCAGGCCGGGACTGTTCCCGGCAGCCAGCGCCCGGGGAGCACGTGCCGGGCGCGGGGAGCAGGCCTGGATCTCCCCGCTCCGGCTGCTTCCTCTGTTTAGGGAAGCTGAGCGGCGGAAACCGGCGCTTCCTCTGGCTGGGCTGCGTGGAGGACGGCTGATAGCGCGGGCCGGCGGGGGGAAGCCCGGCTCCCAGGGGTTCCTCCTGCCGGTCCCGGCTGCCTCCTGCACCCAGAGCCACGGGGCCATGTCCCTGCCCGGAGGGGACATGGGGGGTGGTGACAGCCCCATCCCACTTGCTGCGGCACCTCTCTCCCCTGCCCGCCGCAGGGTCTGCAGCGCGGCCCTGCTGCCGCTGGGCTGCCCTGGCTGTGCAGGGCTGGGGGTGGCCCTGAGCCCCCCACACTGGCTGTCCCCTGGCAGCAGGTCCCCTTCCAGCAGAGCCCGCCCCAGGGGACGGCAGGCAGCGGAGACAGTGGCAGAGCTGGAGCTGGGACCTCTGGGCATCGGTGGCAATGCCAAGGGCACGGCAATGGCAGGAGCTGTCTTTGGGCTTCCTGTGTCCCATGGGCCACGGTAGCTCCGGAGGTCCAGCCTGGCGTGGGCGGCTGTGACGCCAGCTCCCCAGGGAGCCTTTCTCCGTGGCCGGGGGGTCCTTGGAAACCCGCAGTGCTGGCCACCCCTTCCTGGGAGCGTGGGAGCAGCTACCCTGGCCTTGCTGCCGTGGCTCCTCTCCTGTTTATTTATATCCCTGAGAAGGAGCTGGCCGCCACCGCCGCCTCCTCCTCCCACGGATGAGGAGCTGGGCACCGTCTCCGTGCCCACAGCTGTGCAGGAGTGCGCGGGGCCCTCACCGGCCTCAGCAGCAGGACGGTCGCTGGAGGAGCTGGCCCCGTGCACAGGCGCCGGCGCTGCGCGACAGGTGCCCTTAATGCCACGGGTCAGTGGCGCCCGGCCCTGCCCCGCGGCGCAGCCGTACCTGCAGCAGCTCCCCCCTCCCCACCACTATTTTTAGCAACCGTCTCTTTTTCTTGGCGTTTCGTGGCGTGCTCTGGCCTGTCGCACCTCCAGCTGCCCCGATGGGCTGCAGCTGGCAGGAGCGCCCGTGCATCTCCCGGGACACCATCCGCCGGCGCTGCCACATCCCCGCACCCTGCTCTGCCGGGGCACCCTGCCCAACTCAGTGCCTGCCCGTGCCTGGGCTCTGCCTCGTGTCCCAGCACGTGTGCCAGGGTCATCATGTGAGTGGCACCGTCCATGTCAAGTTGTGCTGCACGAGGAGGAACCGGTCCCCATCCTGCTGCAGGGCCAGGGACTTCCCTGTGCTGTGTCCCACCGCCGCAGGCAGGAAGTCAGCGGCCCCATTACAATGGGACTTTGTGCCGTAAGCGTATTACTCAGCACTGACCTTGTGCAATTCTGCACGGTATTCAGCCTGCCAGGTCAGCTGAGGACACACAGCCAGCATGCCCGGCGGCTGCCCCCGCGCCCCCGGGGTGCCCCAGCTGCAGCCCTGGCTCCTGCCATGGCTGTGGGGGCACCGGGGCTCCCTGCCCTGTGGCAGCAGGATGCAAGCCTGTCCTTCTGGGCCTGGCACTGGGCTGGTGAGGAGGCGAGCAGTCACTGGGGGCATGTTCAGGGGTGCCAGGCGGTGACTGTGGGTCTGAGACATCTCCTTCCTCCCCAGGGGTCCCTGGAGGTGAGCCTGAGCCAGCCCACCCGCAGCAGCAGTGGCTCAGAGCGGTGAGTGAAACCCTGCCTCTGGCCCGCTGGACATCCCGTCACATCCCTCGCATGGTGCTGTGGGAGCTGGGGTCCTGGCACGCGGTGGGAAGATGCACTGGTGCCGTTGTGCACTGTACCATCCTGCCCATGGGGCCGGCACCACGCTGTGCCCGTCTGTCGGCTAGAGCAGAGGATGGCACAGCCGGGACTGCTGCACTCCGTCCCCATCCCTGGTGCATCCTTGGGCACGTCTCCATCCCTCTGCCATGCCAGATGGCTTGGCTGCCACACGCTTAGCCAATGGGGGCCGCGCATGGCTCCTCCTGGGCCAGGAGGCTCTGCCGGGCCGTGTCCCCAGCAGAGGCCATGCCTTGGGGTAGTGTGTGCCCGGGGCGATGGGGTGCCGGGGCACAGGGGCCTGCTTGCTCCCCGTCCTCGCAGTGCCGACGCTGCTGCCAGCATTCCTTCCTGGTTGTTCATTTTCCGAATTCCTTGGCAGCGCCGTGACTGCAAACAGCTTATTTTTAGCCAGGGTCATCTGCACCCGATGGCTCTGCTGCGTTCCCACCATGGGGTTGTGGGGTGCCTGGAGCCCCTCAGAACCCAGCTCACCCCAGCCCCCGGGCCAGGTCCCCACTCAGGGGCCATGGGAGGCTCCCACAGGCACCCAAGCTCAGCCCCGTGTCGTCCCCAGGTCTCTGCTCGTTGCGGAGGAGATGCGCAGCCTCATCGTGGAGAAGGGCCCAGGGCCAGTGGAGGATGACCCCGACGCTCTTGTGAAAGGTGGGCACAACGGGGCTGGGGCACTGGGGCCTCTGCCTCTGGAGTAGCTGGGGCAAAGCCAGGGCTGGCAGGATCGTGCCCCGACTGTGGCTGGATCCTGCCCCAGAGGGGCAGGGGGCACCGGCTGGGCTGGCAGGGAGCGGGCAGACCCTGCCCTGCACCGGAGAGCCAGTGGGGCAGATGGTGCCGGTGGCAGGGGCTGAGGCTTCCCCTTCCCAGGCTGGCTGCAGCGGGAGGTGCGGGGTGGCGTGAAGACCCCGTGGATCCGGCCTCGGAAGTACTGGTTCGTGCTGACTCCCGACTCCCTGGACTACTACAGCAGCAATGAGAAGGGGGCCCGGCGGCTGGGCTCCCTCGTGCTCACCAGCCTCTGCTCTGTGCTGTGGCCGGACAAGCAGACCTACAAGGAGACGGGTAAGGTGACGGCACCCCTCAGTTGGGCTGCACCTTTGCAGCCCCTTGTGCCCTGCGTTGCCCTCCCAGCCCCAGGAGGAGGCCTTCATTGCCCGCAGGAGGGGCTGTGCTGAGCCCCGGGGTGCTGAGTGGCCCGGCTGGGGCTGGGGTCCTTGGGCAAGGGTGCCGGTGGGCAGTGGGTGAGCTGCCTGTCCCTTGCAGGCTACTGGAGCATGACAGTGTTTGGCAGGAAGCATTGCTACCGCCTGTACACGGAGCACCTGAACGAGGCTGTGCACTGGGTGTGTGCGGTGCAGAAGGTCATCGACAGCAAAGCACCCGTCCAGACGCCCACCCAGCTGCTCATGCGTGACGTTGAGGTGAGCCCATGGCACAGGGCTGCTCGTGCCTGCAGCGGTTGGCAGAGCCGGGACCGGGACGGATGGTTGGGGCCTCGCCTGCCCTGGCGCAGGTGCCTGTGCTGGGCAGCCCCTTGGCAGCTGCTGCCATCCCTTCGCCCTCCCAGGAGAACTGCGGCAGCCCTGAGGTCCTGGAGCAGATCTACCGCTGCAACCCGATCCTGCGCTACACCAGCAGCCCCCTCTACGCTCCCCTGCTGCCATTCCACTATGGCAGCCTGGACCAAAGCGGTGAGGGATAGGCAGGGGGATGCAAAGCCTGGTCCCACGACCCCAGCTGGCGGGCGCGATGGCCGGGGGCTGGGGGCTGCGCAGGGTGGGCAGGTGCTGGGCTGGGCCCCCTGGGAAAGCCCACGGGACTGTTAACCCCCATCCTGTCCTGCAGCCCCTGGCCCCCGCAGCTACACCACGCTGCGCGATGAGGCTGTGAAGCTCTTCAACTCACTGCAGCAGCTGGAGTCGGAGCGGGACCCAGTGCCGCTGATGCAGGGCGTCCTGCAGACCTGCCTGGACCTGCCGCCGCTGGTGGACGAGATCTACTGCCAGCTGGTGAAGCAGACCACGGAGCCGCCGGCGCCGGGCGGGCAGGGCGACCTGCACTACTGGCAGCTGCTCACCTGCATGAGCTGCACCTTCCTGCCCTCCCCGCCCATCCTGCGCTTCCTGCACTTCCACCTGGACAGGCAAGTGCCGGCGGAATTGCCAGGCACCAGCTGTGGGCAGGGAGCTCGCTGGGTGCCGGGACACCCATTGGGTCAGTGCCGCTGTGACCGTCCTGGCATCTCTTGCAGGACAGAGAGCCGGTTCCCTGCCTCGGAGATGGCCAAGTACGCCTGCTTTATCCGGGAGGCACTGGGGAAGACAAAGGGGCGGGAGTGCGTGCCCTCCCTGGAGGAGATCCTGGTGCTGATGCGGCGGCAGGAGATGATCTGCACCGTGCACTGCCCGGGGGCGCCTGCCTGCAGCGTGGCCATCAGCTCCCACACCACGGCCGAGGAGGTGAGGGGCCACGTCTGTGCCGGGGAGGGGGCTCGGGACATTTCAGCACATGGGGCTGGGTGGGCAGCGTGCCGTGGGAGGCAAGGGGCTCCTGTGGGTCTCTCCCAGCTGAGCTGCAGTGGAGAGGGGCCAGGGGCCACTTGCCTTTGCCCGCCATGACCTGTCTGTGTCCCTTTGCAGCCCTGAGCGCCGCGGCCAGGGACGCGCAGTCATCGTCGGTTGCCTTTGTCTCGCCCCAGGTGGCCCGGGAGCTGGTGTCACGCCTGGGGCTGTCCCAGAGCCCCAACCTCTTTGCCCTCTATGAGCAGTCCCGGCGGCGGGAGCAGCCCGTGGGCAGTGCCACACTGCTGGCTGATGTCCTCACCAAGTTTGAAAAGTAAATGTCCCGCTCTACTGCCTGTGGGGGAGAGGGGCCGGGGAGTCACAGGCGGGAGGGGACGGTGTGGGGGTGCCTCCCCCCACCTGCCCCCACGCTGATGGGGCTGGTCCCTTCTGCCGCAGCCTGGCCGGGGAGGAGCGGGAGCAGGACCCGCCGTGCCGGCTCTGCTTCAAGCACTACGGCTTCCTGGATACGGACAACGTCCCGCGCGACAGCCTGGAGTTCGCCCTCCTCTTCGAGCAGGTGAGAGCCATGCCGGGCTGGCTGTGCCGTGCCATGCCGGGGTGGCCGTGCCGTGCCGGCTCACCCCGCCCTCCCGCAGGCGCACGAGATGGTGCTGCGGGGCTACGTGCCCACGTCGGAGGAGACGCTGCAGACGCTGGCGGCACTGCGCCTGCAGAGCCTCAACAGCGACTTCTCCACCCACGCGCCCTTCCCGCGCCTGGAGGAGCTCTTCCCGCCCCACGTGCTGCACGCCCGCCTGCCAGCCCCCCGCCGCCGGCCCCCCACCAAGTGCCGGGGGGCCCGGCTG